AAACAGAAACCGCATCCTCATCAGAAGCAGTTGGAATCGGTCATGGTTCAAACGCAGCCATCTCTACAGAAACCGCATCCTCATGAGAAGCAGTCGGAACCGGTCCTGGTTCAAATGCAGTCATCTCTAGAGAAACCGCCTCCTTGTCAAAAGCAGTCATCTCTAGAGAAACCGTATCTTCATGAGAAGCAGTCGGAATCAGTCATGGTTCAAACGCAGCCATCTCTACAGAAACGGCATCCTCGTCAGAAGCAGTCGGAATCAGCCCTGGTTCAAATGCATKCATCTCTACAGAAGCCAACTCAAATATCAGAAAAAAATAATGTAGAGAGACAACAGATTGGGGTAAACTTATGTCAAATTACTCCTATCCTGCCGGAAGCTGTTAATCGTTGCTCGTCTGCAAGACCGCCTATATGCCATCAAACTGTTTCTCCTACAAGCACTGCTAAAAGGAAACGCCTTCCGGATGGAAACAATACATCAATTAAACTGGACAAGGGATATGGTGGTCCAATTGTTAAAAATAAGATACGGTGGATTCTGTTCATGTCCCATGCACGTTATTGCAACGCACCAGAAGGCAAGTGTGGGACCGGATTTTGCGTTCGTGCCAAAGAGACATTGAAACATTCACAACACTGCAAGATCCCTGATTGCACATATCTTAATTGTCTTAGAACTCGGGAATTGATGCCTCATTACAAGCAATGCAGGGACAAATCGTGCCGTGTCTGTGTAACTGTTAAAAACTTCAAGAAGAAACATAGAAAAGCATCTCTCCGTGCAGCTAAGCTACAGTTAGCTAGTTTACAAGGTCGACAAAAGGAATCCTTAGAGTCCAAGCAAGCATATAACAAAGGAAGCACTGTTGATGATAATGATCTGCAACCCTCAATGAAGCGCCTGAAATTAGACCAACCCTCCCAAAATGCCACTCCGGAGAAAGAGAGAAATTTAGTGTCAGTATGTGGTGTTGTCTGTAAGTCTCTTTCTTCAATGGATATCAAAGGGAAAGATGGTTTTCTAAGTGATGACTGCAAAAGTGTCAAAGTTGAGGTTAAGCCTATGGACATAGATGTTTCTGCTCCTTCCGGGATTCCTATTACCCGGGAGGTGGAGAAGCATGTTGTTGAAGATACTCCCAAGGGTAAAAATGGTGGTGAATTTGCTATGGATGACAAAACTGTTTGTTTATCGGCGCAAGGGAAATCTGAATATATGAATGAAATGAGTGTGTCAAAGGAAGAGAATGTGAAACAGCCTGTGGACGACGCTGTAGATGCGTCTAAGATGGAAATCTCTTCACTCGTTGAATTGTTTACTCCAAAGCAAGTAAGGGAGCATATCCGCGGTCTTCGTCAGTGGATAGGCCAGGTAAACAGTCAAATTCTTTGTTTCAAAAGGTCCTAATTTGTCTACTCTGTATCCTTGTTGCACTTGGCTATCAACAGTGGATGATGCTAGTTTTTATTTCTTTGTAATTCTATTTTCAGAGTAGAATCAAGGCAGACAAAAACAAAGCAATGGCGTGCTCCATTACTGAGAATTCTTGCCAGTTATGTGCCGTTGCGACGCTTGAATTTGAGCCAATACCTATTTACTGTACACCTTGTGGTGTACGCATCAAGAGAAATGCCTCGCACTATACTGTTATGGCTGGTGAGTCACGGCATTATGTCTGCACACCTTGCTACAATGACGCGCGGGAAAAATCTGTTTCTATCGATGGAACTTCCATACCGAAAGCAACGCTTGAGAAGAAGAAAAATGATGAACCAGCTGAAGAAGCGGTATGTATGCCTCATGACTTAATATGATTTCTAAAATCTGCTTCTTCTTATTTCGGTGTCTGAATTAATTGTTTGATGCAGTGGGTGCAATGTGATAAGTGCCAATCTTGGCAGCATCAAATATGTGCTTTGTTCAACGGCCGAACAAACCATGGTGAAGGCACCAAGTACACTTGCCCTAGGTGCTACATACAAGAGGTTGAACAAGGAGAAAGAAGACCATTGCCACAAAATGCCATTCCGGGAGCAAAAGGTTTACCAGTTACTACTCTCAGCAACCATATAGAGCAGCGGTTATTCAGAAACTTGAAGAAGGAAAGACAAGAGAGGGCTAGATTTCAAGGAAAAAGTTACGAGGAGGTAATCTCTAACTCTTTTGATGAATGACATTTTGAACAGCTTATTGTATGCAAAACAATTATATTAACCATTATATCAGGTCCCCGGAGCCGAATCGCTTGCTGTCAGAGTTGTGGCATCGGTGGACAAAGTATTAGAAGTAAAGGAATGTTTCCGTGAGCTTTTCCGAGAAGAAAATTATCCATCTGAATTCCCTTATAAGTCCAAGGTAGATATGGTTCATGATTGGTTCTTGTTTTCATTTTCATGATGCTTGTTGCCACACTTACATATCTATTTTCTTTGTATAAATATATAAATTGCAGGCCATACTATTGTTTCAGAAGATTGAAAGTGTCGAAGTGTGCTTATTTGGCATGTTCGTCCAGGAATTTGGAACAAAATCTGGACCTCCCAATCAGCGGCGGGTATACATTTCTTATCTAGACTCGGTTAAGTATTTCAGACCTGAGGTTCGAACAGTGTCTGGAGAAGCCCTCCGCACGTTTGTGTACCATGAAATTCTGGTAAACCTCTAATCCCAGCTTCACAATACACCGGCCTTATCACCATTAATTAACTCAATTCCGCATTTGCAGATCGGTTATCTCGATTATTGTAAGAAACGTGGTTTTACAAGCTGTTATATATGGGCATGCCCTCCACTTAAGGGTGAAGATTATATTCTATATTGTCATCCTGAAATCCAGAAGACCCCCAAGACTGATAAACTAAGGGATTGGTATGAAATCAACCGCCTTTTTTTTTTTACTTGTTTGTCAAGTGCTAGGTACTTTTGTTGGCACTAATCACATTTCTCCTCTTTTCAGGTATTTAGCAATGCTAAGGAAAGCTTCCAAGGAAGATGTGGTCGTGGAATGTACAAACCTCTATGATCAGTTCTTTGTCCAGTCTGGGGAGTGTAGAGCTAACGTAACTGCTGCAAGGTTGCCGTATTTCGATGGGGACTACTGGCCAGGTGCTGCTGCGGATTTATTACATCAAATGAGCCAAAACGATGATGGGACAACGACGTCAAATAAAAAAGTCATATCGAAAAGAGCCCTAAAAGCAGTTGGCCAGTCTGATCTTTCTGTTAATGCCTCCAAGGATCGCCTGACGATGCAGAAAGTAACTTCTTATCCGATGTTCGACTTTTTTTCGTTCTAACTGTTTGACGGATGTTCTTGGTATTGATTTGTTTCTTTTATTCTATAGCTTGGTGAGATCATATGCCCGTTGAAGGAAGATTTCATCATGGTACATTTGCAACATTGCTGCAAGCATTGTTGCACACTCATGGTATCCGGATACCGGTGGGTGTGCAACCAGTGCAAGAACTTTCAAATCTGTGACAAGTGTAATGAAGCGGAGCAAAAGCGCAGAGAGAAAGAGAGACATCCAGTCAATCAGAAAGAGAAGCACACACTATTTCCTGTATGTTTCTCCAGAGCTTTAAAAAGTTTCATTCTCCTTTTGTGTATCTTGAGAAAATGACAAGGTTGCGTGAATTTCTGCAGGTGGCAATCAAAGACGTTCCCATTGAGATTGAGGAGAAAGACGACAACATTGAGAGCGAGTTCTTTGATAATAGACAAGCTTTCCTGAATCTTTGCCAAGGAAATAATTATCAGTATGACACACTAAGGTGGGCGAAACATTCTTCAATGATGCTTCTTTATCATCTTCACAACCCAACCGCCCCTGCATTTGCAACGATATGCACAATCTGCCAACAAGTAGTCGAACACGCTCAAGGCTGGCGTTGCGGTATTTGTCCAGGCTACGATGTGTGCACTGCATGTCACTCCAAGGCGTCCGTCGAACATCCTCATAACCTGATAAGCCGCTCATCTACTAGGGATACTGTTGAACAACAGAACGGCCAAGTGAATCGAAATGGTCAAATCCAGCTTGAGAAGGTATTTTTATGATTAAACCAAAACCTATAATATTTGGATTATAAATGTGTGTGTTATTGATAATGCAGATAAAACAAATGTTGGTACATGTAGCTGCATGCCGCTCTCCGCAGCCGCAGTGCCAGTATCCAGGGTGTCATTTGATGAGGGTTCTCTTCAAACATTGTAAAGGCTGTAAGATTGGTGCTGCACGTTGTCCCAACTGTAGGAGATTTTGGTGGGCCATAAACCTCCATGCCCGCTTCTGTAGAGTTTCCCAGTGCACTGCCATCTACTGCAGGTACATTGAGTTAAAACTGCTTCAACTCTCTTCTATACACGTCAAGAGATAGCTAACTCTTTCGTCTCTTTAAACAGAGATATCAGAGCAAATAATAGTAGAAAGCAGCAGCAGTCAGAGAACCGACGCAGAGCTGCTGTAACGAAGATGATGCGGGAAAGGGCCGCTGAAGCCACCCGCAATTCCTGATTCATTTGATCAAGACTTGTTTTGCTGCATTCTTAAGAGGGCTCTCAACAACATCTATCGAATAATTTCGATCAACCTCAACCTCATTGGCGAGAAATTTAAGTTTAGAATTAGAAGCAAAAGGAGGAGCTTAGTTAGGTTTCCTGGTCGTACATATGGAAGGTATAGGCAATGGCAAATATTCAGCCAATCTTTTTATTTGAATTATCTTTCATATTCTTTGTAATGGTTGCAAAATTTCATCTTTATTTGTTTATTGATTCGTTTGTAAATAACGATAGGAATGTGGCAATATTCATGTTACTCCTTGYTTCATATAGTAAACACTAACAGTTGAGTTCACCAAGCTATCTACCAAATAACACAGAGGACCGTCTTTACATCAGACAGACCTGAGGTTGAAAGCTAGTGTTACTACCTCAAGTTTCAAGCCTGGGATGTTTCGGGGAAGTTTCACATTCGTCGTCGTTAGCTTCAGAAGATCTCTTCTTTGCAGGTGATGATGGAAGCTGAGATTCTTGTTCGGAGGTGGCTTTCCGTTGTTCATCCAAAATCTTCTCCAAGTATTTCGCGTGCTCTTCTATCCGTAGCTGAAGCGATCTTTGTACCTACTCAAAGCAAATCTTGAATGAAAACCTTTGACTAATGTGGGAGTGTGGTTACAGAGTGATGTATTTTTTACTACCTCGAGCTGTTGGTGCAATTGTTTCTGTACTTCCATCTGCATTCGTAGCGCCTCGGTTAACTGTATCGCTCTGCGCCATCAAGAAAAGACCAGAAGAAACCTTAAAGGAAAAATGTCTAAAACATATCCGGAAATCCAAGAATTAAGCGAAAAGCCTCACCCATTCTTTCTACCATCTACTTCACTAGTATTCGAAGCTGGTTTCTGCTTCTCTGCAAAACAAAACAATGATCTGTCTCAGAATGATCATAAAGTAGCAACAGAGGGAACAAGTTCTGGCTTTACCTTCTTTTCTCTCGGGCATATACTTGGCTAGTCTATACTTCTGCAATCCAAAGAAAATTCAGCTAATCCGGTATTATGTAATCGAAAACTCTGTCAGATTTCAACTGATTGAGAGTGTTAGTAGTACCTGCAAGTGACTTTTCACTTGATATATTGTTAAACCTTCAACATTCATCAGCTTCATAACAGCCTTAGGAGTTGCCTCTGTATCATATTATCAAAGCTAAACCTGCTTAGAGAACAAACAAAAAACTCTTTCGAAAAGAAGCCAACTTACTTTCAGGCCCTTCAAGCTTCTTCACAGCCTCAAGAAAACACTCATGTAGCTCAGGACTCCATCTCATTCTTGGTTTGTGGTTCACTTCAGATCCTTGAGAAGGTTGAGACCAAACTGCTTCAGGAACACAGTTTCGGTCAGGACTAGATTCAGTCACTTGGTAAATCTCCTGAAATCAAAACCCAAAAAAGCAAACAAGTTCAAAGGAGGAGAGAAACTCATTCTTCAACTTCAACAGTAACCAATGGAAATGAAGTAAACTCACATCAAGCCGAGGCGTTTCTACACTGTCTGTGATTGCTAACTCAAGCTCATCAGACAAGAACTGAAACTCCATTTGGTCTGATAAGGAAAAGTTTTCATTAAGATCTTGAAAAATTCCACCATCAGAACAAACATCACCAGAGAGAGTAATCAAGGAGCTTTCTTCTTCTCCATTGTATAGATTGCTCAAAAGGTCTTCACTGAAACTCGTTGGAGATCTTTCAATCAAAGGATTTGGAAGAAATGGAAGAGTAGTACCGAGATGTTTCTGAGTCTCAGAGCTTGAAGATGAAGATAAATTGCAAAAGGCAGAGGATCTTGAGAATGGAGTTATGTTTCCTCCATCAATGGACAAGAAGCTATGGCTGTTCATGCTGCTTCCATCAAAATTTCAAATTTCACATCAAGCAACACCAAATCAAAGCAATGTTAGCAAGAACGTACAAGGAATTAGCAGTGAGGATAAAGTTTCAACCTTTTTTCCCAGGAAAATCGGAGAGGACAATGAGGAAGAAGAGAGAAGGGAGCTTATTACGATTTAATCGCCGCCGAGAAGAGAAGAAAAGCTCACTGCTTTATTACTGTCTCAGTCTCTCTGCTTGATGGACACGCACCAACCGAAGCTCGTAAGTCAATAAGAAGCTAATAAGGAGTATATTACTTTTAAAATCTTTAAGATTAATCATATGCAACTTGTGGAGTTGGATAATTAGTGTAGTTTTAGATGCTTTGATGAAACCAAAATATTCCTTTGGTGAATAATGTCCTCCAAATTGCTATACCATAGAATGGAATGGATAAATGATTTTACTTAATATCTTAAAAGATTTTAATTTTATTAATAACTAGATTAAGGACCCGCGTATATGCGGATTTTATAATTTAATCTCTTATAACCTTGTGAAAACAAAAATTAATTATATAGAACAAAATTAGATCATCCGTTAAAGTTAAATGAAATAAAAATGAAAATGTTGTTGTAAACCCACTAAATGTAAAACATAACATTTATTTATTAATTTTGATGTTTATGTCGATTAAAAAAAATGTTATTTGATTTAGAATAAGATATTATCACATATTTTCAAATTATTAGTTTTTCTTATCCATACTTAAATTAAATGTACTTTTCTATTTTATTTTTCTGTTTTACTATTTAAATATCTATATTTCAAAATGTTAATAAATCTATTCCCATATTTTATTTTAACTATTTTTAATCTCTAAATATTTTATAACTCTCGGAAAACAAATCAAACACGAACAAAATGGAAGACAAAATTAGATCACCCTAATGAAATGATAAAATAAAATTGAGAATGTCAATACAAAAATATTTGTAGAAAAATCGATCAAATATTTATCTATTTTATTGTCATATTTATTTATTGTATTATTTGATATTCAATTAAATTATTTCACATATTTCTAAATAATTAGATTTTTCTAATCCTATTTAAATTATGTTTATTTTTTTTTACTATTTTACAAATAAAGATAGATAATTATTTTCACTTATAACTAAATCTAATTGAAAATAATTTCTTTTCACCTATTTTAATTAGGTTTAGAGTTTCCTTATCCTATTTAAATTAAGTTTATTTTTTACTATTTTACAAATAAAAAGACAAATAGATAAATATTTTGACATATGGTTAAATCTAATT